ATTTAATTAAAAAAAGGCATTACCTTGAGGTTTCTTACGATTGTTAAGAGCTAAAGTTCGAAAGTAAGATGGAGTTAGAAATTGTTATAAAGAATGCGTGTTTTCAAACGTGTAATCCCAAAAAACAATTCATTTAATACTTGGATATCAAACTGAATAGTACGAAATTATAAAAACCTTATAATCCGAGCCCTTTCGAAAGGTGGACATTTCTTCTTCAGGTGTAAACTGAAGAAGAATGGTCTACCTTTGGAGAGCGCTTGGGTTATAGGAATTTTATATTAAGACTTCTTGAACTTACGTATTTTTCTGACATCATGAAACTGAATCGTATATGATTACTATTCACTATTACTGAAGTACGATAACTAGTGATTTCTTTTGGACAGTTATTAATTAGCATATAACATTGTCGTCTGCTAATTTGTAGTTTTAAACTGTGTAAAAGTATTGCATTACCAAATAGCATAATTTCACATATTTGAAACATATATCTGCATGAGAAAGTTCTGGTCAATCTTTGGCCCAACTAAGAGAAAACTGCTGAATCTACACGAAAAGCGAGTTTAGATCTTGACAATGGCCTAGCTGTAAGTACAGGTGTGAATTTTACCTACAGAACAGTAAAATGTGGATTAACATATAGTGATCTCAATAAATATGTAGCTGCTCCAAACTCACTTCTTAGGAAAGATAGCTAAACCAAAAGGGTGAAATGGGCATTATACTTCAACTAATGGAATAAGCAACAGTGGAGAACGGTGCTCATTACAGGTAAATCTAAATTCAAATTGTTTGGCAACAATCAACGATAGTTTAATGGCAGAGAGGAGAATGACATCACTTTCAATGCACATCTACAGTGAAGTATGCTGAGAGACCAGTATCAGTGTGACTACATCTTATTCAATGACACAGGCCATCTACACGAGAGAGATGACATCCATTTTGTATAGATGGTATCTTGATAGCTGGCAAGTACAATCAAATTCTTATATATTATGATATTTCCTCAGAATCAAGACCCATTGGTCGAGGATTAATTTACATCAAGTCAGTCATTAAACGTGATGAAACAATATCTATAAGGAAGAAAGGAGGTTGGTGGAACACTTGCAATCATAATTTGGTATTCTCAGTCTTGATATTAATACTATTTATTTTTAATGGGAATAAATGGAAACTGAGCAGATCAAACAGCACCAAACAAGTTGTCTGAATTATGGGAAGTAATACAGAATATTTGGAACAATATTTTAGAATCAAACATTGATAAAGCTATATATTTGCATAGAGACAAGATAAATTGTTCTGATTAAAGCAAATACGAAATAGTAAAGCTTTATAACCCCTATTTTCTATTTTTTGTAATAATGTATTGTACTATTAATAAATTGAATATTTAATTGCAAATATTCATTGTTTGTGTTTCATGTATGAGCAGCACTTACGTGTTTCCTTGATTGTTTCCATTACTGTATATTTAGAGTTGTATGTTTGTTTGCTTGTTGTTTTTTTAGAGCAAAACAACATTTGGCTATCTGCTGTGTCCACCGCGAGGAACCAAATCTTGTATTTTAGTGTTTTAAGTCCATAGACTTATCACCAGGAGACTAAAATTGCATAAAATATTGCGCCTTCTCCTTTAATTAGCAAAGCATACATTACCCCAAATCGTACCTATTTATATTTTCTACTTGTTGTTATAACGTGTACGTAGATAACATGATCAATGGTACTATGATGAACTACAAACGGTAGAAAGAAATAACAACATATGATTCAGTAGGGATGGGAGGAGTATTAATAATATATATTTTTCTGAATATATTGCAGTCTCAGTACTAATGTGAAAAGAAGAACAAATAAACTGAACAGAGCCAGATATTTCTGATTTAATCAAAACACACTTAAAATAGATCATTTTGAAAGAAAAGCGTCTATTCAATGTGTGTGTGTGTGTATATATATATATATACTTTTCTATATTTATTCATTGTTCTTTGTTGCTTACGTTCAAATTGAAGTAGTTTGTTACCAAAAGTCTTGAATTTAAATTTCAGTCGAGTGGAAATTTTGTATAACTTTTTTTTTTAATTATTAACTCATCATGCTTAATAGGAGCAAGATCTTATGAGAATAGGAAAAATCAGAATAAGATGATGAATTATTTGTTAATATTTTATTAGAAAGACTGGGTGTCGCAGTTGCTATAGTGCTCGAGTCAGGTTTTATGTTTATTTTATTAATTTTCTTATATATTTATTATCATATTTACAGCAAGATATTTGAATATGCGGAAAAATACGAATACCATTACAGATTATTTGAGGGATAATATCATGTTATATATATATGAAAACCAGTGTCTGTTAGTGTCAAACACAACTTAAATATTTTTCAACTCAACAGATGACGCAACAATACATTATTATTGATGTTTTACAACTTGGGTAAGAGATTTTTAAAAATCTAGTCAAAAATTTATAAGCATTCTTTGTGAAAAGTTAAACCTTCATGCATTCAGGATTCACCCTAAAACTCTTTGATATAACAATTAATAAATTGCAGGGTAAGACATTTTCTAAGATAACGAATTCTACTTTTATTTTGTTGTGGTTGTGTCTATCGTTTATTTATTATTCCTTTTATCATGTAGTTCAATTATGAATTTTTAACTGTATTAAAGTGCTAACTCACTTTTAGTTAGAACACTTGAATTTGAGTATTTTGTACTCTAAAACTGGTATAAGCTTCTCCTAGCAGTGACGTACAGATATTACTATGAAATATTATGTAAATTATAGTAATAACTAGTCACAAGAAATGTAATCTCGTGATTTAACCACTAAACAAAAATCCTTTCTTGGTCTTAAACGAATTAGTTCACGATGTATACTTGGAACGAATTATTGCTCGCTATTGTTATTAATCTTGAGAAGTGGTTTAACTTTGAAATATTATGTGTCTTTTTGTGTGTTTTTTTTGGGGGGAGGGGATTAGTTTTTATTCTTCTGGTTAGTTTTCCTATTTCCTTTACTTATTGAAATTAACAACATTGAGATTTATGGTGTATTGTTTATTAAAATATAAAGTTTGTATCAAGGCCTGGCCAGACACAAATTTGCCAGTTGTTTTTGTAAATGATAAAATTTGTAATCTAGTTGTTTGAAAGTTTTGAATTTCTTTTGTTCTTACATTTTAATATATTGAACAATCAGTTTTTTTGCATAGTTCAGTCTATAAGGTTTTATCAGGAAGTAGATTTGAACATAACACAAAAAATATACATAAGTCAAAATTTTAATCAAAGACCACCTGCAGGAGATACCCAAATATATACAAAAACCATTTGGTGAAATGCTAAAAAAGTACTGTTACAACAGCGGAAGTCACGTGACGCTGGGAGCATGCGCGCTGGAGTTTCTCGAAGGATCATGAATTTGCCTGGCAACGCTAGTGTGATCGAGACGCCCTCTTTTTTAATATATAGGCCTGGCGAGAAAAACCAGCGTGATTGAAGAGATAGATAAATAGATAATTGAGTCAAGCGAACAGTAAGGCACCGTAAGTAAAGTGTGTGAATCACTGTAATTTATAGCGTGTGTTATAAAGGTTGTTAAGTT